TTATAAGGGGGGCGGGCGACTTGGGGGAGGGGCAAGGCGGCGGTGGAGGTGGAGTCCCGGTCGGACTCGGCCTTGGCTGTGGCGGCGCGGACTCCTCGCGAGAGGCGGCGGCGGCGATGGGCCGGCTCGGCTGGGCCTTCGGCCCAGTCGGGTGCGGGCGCGCTCGATTTTTTTTATTTTTTAAAAACAATTTCGCGGAACAGAAAATAAATTCTAGAAAAATAACTAAAAATCTAAAAATACCAAAATAAATTTCCATCGTCTAAATAAAATATTTAGAACAAGATGAACATTTTCTTGGCCCTAAAATGCAGTTTAGAAAAACGTGCAATTTTTCCTAAATTCAAATAAAATAGCAAAAACTCCAAAATAAACCTTATTTGATTTTTTTATTAAATCCTCAATATTTCTTTATTTTGGGAAAGTCATTTTATTCCCTCTCTCATATTTTTATAATTGAAATAATTGAAGATAAAATAAATAAAATCAAATGATTCTATTTTCAAAATTCAAGAAAACTCAAATATGAAAATAACGAAATCCCCAACTCTCTCCGAGGGTCCTTGAGTTGCTTAGAATTTCTAGGATCAAACCAAAACAAATAAAAAAATATATGATATGCATTGATGATCTAATGTATAACATTCCAAATTGAAAATTTGGGATGTTACATAAATAGATATTTATGTACCTAGAAATGATTTTTGGAAAAAATAAAGAGCAAACTACGAGGTAGCTACAGTTCAAATTTGACCCGCTTCCAACTGAGTCGGCGGGAATTTGTCTTTTTCACGAGAGGTGGATCAAATTTTTTCACCCAACCATTTGGTCAATTGTGCATTAAATATGTCCTAGTATTTTAGAAAATTGATTTGGTACAATTTTGCAACAAATATATGGTAGGTCCTTCACAAAAAACCTCATTTCAGGCACTTAAAAATGATTAAAAATAGCTAAAAAGATCAGAAATGCATACAAAGTGGACCTTATCCATAAAATGTGGTCTAACTCTCGTGAAAAATTGTGTGATGCCCTTCTAGAAAATATTTTTGATAGCTGCTTCACAAAATCCCTCTATTTTCAATACTTGGAAACTATTTTAAACTAGTAAAACGCCCGTGCGTTGCTACGGGCTATACTGTATATAAATGAATCAGACAAATTATTAATATTGAAACTTATTTCTCTCTCATACACCAACCTCAAGGTCGATGGCAGGTTCCCGTGATCTAGTGTAGCAACATAAAAACTCCACCCCATGACACACCCTTATGTTTTCCTGTCGGGCCCTCCCCTTCCGCTCGGTTTTCGCCGTAGTGAGACATTTCTCGCTGGAGCCCTCTCCTTTAAAACGGGATGACGCCCACCTCACCTTCGCCATCGCGGCCTCTCTCCTTCACACCATACTTCCCCACGAAGGGATTGCATTTAGACGTCGAAAAAAAATCGATGATGAGGGGGTCATGGAGGAGGGGTAGAGAACGAACCGGTGAAAGCCAAAAAAACCTGCGTACAATGTTTTCTCCACCTGGGTCATAGAGGAGTCCCCCTGGTAGAGGAGTTTGGGGAGAAGAGGACGGCGACGCGAGAACACGTCAGGAGGATCGCAAGGAAGGCACGCTGGTAGAGGAGATCAGGGAGAAGAGGACGGCAGCGCGAGGACGTCGGGACTATCGCGAGGAGGGCAGGTGATGGGAGGATTGCGTTCACATACACGTTAATGGACCAGCCCAATGCTGTGATGTGATGATGTCAAAGGTGGGCGAAAGATAGGAGTGGTGGGATGAGGTGGAGTGAGGCGAGACTACCAACTAAGATATTAGTAGTAGAGATTACTGAGAGTTGGTATAACATACATAATCATAATCCTTATGGAAAATGTTAGGCTGAATCTTTGAGTAAGTGAATCTATCTTGTAAACTCCATTGTAGACCATGCATACACATTATTCTCCAGAAGAACTGGTGCAGATTATTTGAAGGAGCTTGATATCCCATAGACCATAGTCCTCGTGTAGTCTTGCATTGAAAGATATAGGTATGTAAGACAATTAACTTGGAATGAAATAGATAATTAAATGGAAAAGAGAAGAACTGAAATGAGGTAGAACTTTCAGTAGGGTCACATTTCATTACTCAGACTAACCAAAAGTTTCAGAACCGAGTTCTTGGAGCTCTTTGTCTTTGAGGTCATCATTCTTTATAATCTAAAACGTGAACATTTGGTTGGTAAAGAACATTACGTGTTAAATATGACATGTTATAGCAACCCTAATATCAAGACCACCTCTCATGGGCATAATCAACTCCCTAAAGCCTCTTTTTTTATCAGATGCATAATGCACATCACTTACCGAGGAAGATTTTAGCCTCTTCAACATAACAATCGGTATCCCTTGTCAAAGCTCACACCAAAATTACTGCACATGTAATCATTCTACCCTTTGATTGATAGACTGAAAATAAGCACACAAAAGATAGGAGCTACTCACATTCAAACTTCTGCCACAAGCTCGTTGATGGTCATGCCCCTTCAACATGTTCACACATAGTGTGTCAAAAAATAATATTCCTCCAACCAGCCCATACAGAATGCCTCAAATTGGCATGATAAAACAAATCCAGAATGCATTATTCATTGAAATAAAAAAAATGAAAACATCTCAAACCAATATGTATGTAGAACCTGAAATTATATCTTATGTATCAAAATGACTATACAACCTTCCAAAAAGCGAAGGAGGACCATACATAATACAATACTCCTTTCCAGCGCTTTACGTCGCCCGCCTCCCAATGCATCTCTGGTCATCTCCATGGCCTACAGGAGGCGCTTCACCTACAGCAGAATTTTGGGATAGGAATCCCTTCTTCACCTACATCAAAATTTCGAGATCCCAACACTATCAGGCTAATACAAAGATCCATGAGAAGTGTGAACGTACCAACGTCTTCGGGTATGCATGGACTGTACGGGTAATTGATTTGGGAAACGTAGGCGGCGATGCTGGCATGGCCGACGGCACATGATGCTTCTATAGTGAGACCGGTGGTATTATATTAATTATAAATTATTATAGGAAACGTAGGTATTATAGGAAACATAGGTATTATAGGAAACGTAGGTATTATTAATTATTATTAATTATTAATTATTATAGGAAACGTAGGTATTAATTATTATAGGAAACTACGGCACATGATGCTTCTACAGTGAGACCGGCGGTATTATAGGAAACATAGGTATTATATTAATTATTAATTATGATTATTAGAGAATTAGAGATTAGAGATTAGAGATTATTTCTTTCCTGAAAATCTATTATTTGTTTCCTAAAGCAATTGCATTAATGAGAGAGATCCGTTGATTTGGCTAAGGTAGGAAAGAATCTATTATTTGTTTCCTAAAGCAAATTGCATTAATGGAAGAGATCTGTTGATTTGGCTAAGGTAGGAAAGAATCTATTATTTGTTTGCTAAAGCAAATTGCATTAATGGGAGAGATCCGTTGATTTGGCTAAGGTAGGAAAGAATCTATTATTTGTTTCCTAAAGCAAATTGCATTAATGAGAGAGATTCGTTGATTTGGCTAAGATAGGAAAGAATCTAATATTTGTTTGCTAAAACAAATTGCATTAATGGGAGAGATCCATTGATTTGGCTAAGGTAGGAAAGAATCTATTATTTGTTTCCTAAAGGAAATTGCATTAATGAGAAAGATTCGTTGATTTGGCTAAGGTAGGAAAGTTAGATCCGTGATCTTTTGTCATTAGGAAAGTGTTGAAAATAAACCGTACCGGACTACCAACTCCTCCATTAGGTTTTTTTCGCTGGTTAATTTTCGTAGGGTTTTTTTCGCCGGATTGTCTTGGGTGCGATCGGAGGTTAGGCCCTGGAATGCGTGAGGGCAGGTGGGGGCTTCGGTACGCGGTTTTTTTGGTTCGTGGCGGCTCAGTGTGAGGTGGGACGAGGTACAAAAAAAACCATGGGAGGTAGGATGAAAAAAACCTGGAAGCGAGACTACCAACTGCTCCATTAGAAGTAGAGATCACTGAATTTCCGAACCAATCAGAACTCGTCCCACGGATCGATGACATGGCGCCCATCCATCCATCCATTCATCTCTCCATTCCACATCCATCCATCCATCCATCTATGCATAGAAAAAATAAATAAAGAGATACCCCCACCCCCACCCGCAGCCCAAACCCCTCCTCCCTCGTCCCCTCTCTCGCCGCCGCACCCAAACCCTAACTCCACTCCTCTCCCCCGATCGAGATGCACTCCTCACAGCCGCCCGCCGTGAGCGATTCAGCCGATGCCGCCGCCAGCGCCCGCGCGCCACCACCCGCTCCTCCTCTCCTACCAGATCGAGCCGCCACCTCCCTCCCCATCCCCGCGCGCTACCATCCGCTCCTCCTCTTCTGCCCGCGCACGCACAGCCTTGGCTCCTGCTGCTCTTCCCGATTGAGGAGGGGGAGGAGAGCGAGAGGGGTAGCATGGTGGCCAGCGAGGGGAGCACCATCACGGGAGCCGCGTCCTCCCGGTCCACGACCACGTCTTCTGCGACCGCGATGGGCAGGGTCAACAACCTCGACCTCAAGGGCGTCGGCCTCGTCGGCGCCCTGCCCCCCACCTTCTCCTCCCTCGACGTGCTGCAGGACCTCAGCCTCTAGACCAACGCGCTCTCCGGCCCGCTCCCCTCCTTCCGCGGCATGGCGGCCCTCCGCCACGCCTACCTCAACGACAACGCCTTCTCCTCCCTCCCCAAGGACTTCTTCGACGGCCTCGACAGCCTCGAGGAGATCTGCCTCGACAACAACCCGCTCCTGCCAATCCATCTCTGTTGTTCTTCTTCTACCTCTGCCTCGACCCCTCCTCCCCTTGTATTCTTCTTCTACCTCTGTTGTTCTTCCTTTCCACATCACATCTCAAGTGGTCGTGTGTAGGCACTGTACATCCATATCATCTCCTTGCATGGTGAAGGTGACCAGGCCATGGAGAGAAAAGCTCCTGCCAATCGCGGTAATTTTGCTCTGACCCAAACGCTGCTTACCTGCCTTCTGCATTCAACAGTACATATTCAGAGTTATCTCATTGGTTTCTTTGGTGAAGGACGGTGCAGATCGACATCGTGAAGGACGGAAACATATCAGGTCACCTATGTATGCGAGAGGTTTGTATGCTTCAGTTGCTGTAAACCGAAGATTCTGCAAAAATATGACATGTCGTCTTAATGTTTATGACATGTGTTTTGATACTGTATACGTCGTCTTAATGTGTTTGCTGCCGATATTCAGAGAAGAATAGTGATGACAGTATATCTAGAGTGTTTGTGATAGTTAAACATGTTTGTTCTTTTTTTGACAAGGTGAGTATCCAGCAAGTACATGCTCACCAGACAACCCTAGGTTTGAATTCCTTGAGTAAAAGAGAACTACTGAATTGCTTGAGGTTTGAATTGCTCTTGTACATTGCCTGAGTTATCACAAAACTTGCTCCTGTTAATTATTCAGAGTAGCTGATCTGGTGCAAGCTGATGCAAGCTAATTTTGGAGTAGAACACTTCAAGTAAAGAATGTGAACTTAATGGAGTAGCTGATGCAAGCTGATTAGTAGTAGAACACTTTAAAGTATCAAGTTTCTGGAGTTCCTGTAGTAGTCGTACTGTCAATTTCTTGTCAACTTGCTACTCCTGTCAATTTCATGTAGTTCCTGGAGTAGAGTAGTGTGCCACTCTTGTTTGCTTGCAGGAGTAATTAAATGAAACATTTTCAGTTAATTAAAATTTGGTGTAAACTGCTTGCTTGCATCAGTAGCGCACTACTCTTCTTGTTTGCACCACACACGCACGCACACACTTGTTTGGAGTAGGTTGGAATTAACTGAAACTCTTTTCAAACTAAATGAATCTTTTCAAATGATCATTTGATCAAAGATCAAATTATCAAATGAAAATATTCAGTTAACTTTGACTGAAAATATCTAGGTACTGAATATTTCCATTTAATCATTCATTTTTGTGCTTGCATGCTGGATTTATTCTTGTATGCTGGAATTTTGGTGTAGCAGTAAAGTTTGCAAGCATGGAGTAGTATGCTTGTATGCTGGAATACACAGTAACAGAAGTAGCATCAAGTGTACACATAGTACACACTTGTGCACAAGTGTACTCTAGAGATGTAGCATCAAGTGTACTCCAGGAGTATTATCCTGTTAAAAAATCGTGTTTAAATTTACATGGTGCACATTTAAATTCTTTTTTAAAAATACTCATGTGTACTCCAACAAGATCTACTCCAGGAGTATACACTACAGGATCACCATCTTGATCTACTCCAACAAGATCAAGATCAAGAGTTTATCAATGCAACAGCTTCTTGGAGTACTCATTGCCTGCTTCTTGACCGGGATTGATACCATTGTTGTAGTAGTTGACTTTGTGGTTCTTGGTTCAGGCTCCTAGAACACGTGTGGTGTACCTCAGAGCTGCCTTTGGAACAACCATGTCTCATGTGTCTGACATTGTTGGACCGGTGAGATCTCGTCGCTATTTCCTTTGTGTATTTCAAGTGAATGCTACTTAATGTGAGTTGTCTTAACGAAGTCTTGTCACTTTGCAGACTGGGTTGGTGTATGCCGTTGAGTTCTCTCACCGGAGTGGTAGGGATCTTGTCAACATGGCCAAGAAGAGGACCAATGTCATCCCCATCACTGAGGATGCAAGGCACCCGACAAAGTAACGGATGCTGGTCGACATGGCTCAAGTTGTACCAGATCAAGGTATCTTGCTTTCCATGTTCGCCCCTTTCTTTATGCTTGCTAGTTGCATCTGGCGCAAAGCTCGGTTTCTTTTGCTCCTAATTCAGTGTCGCAGCTGCAGCTCATTGGTTGCATGGTCTTCGGTTTTGTTGTGCTGATTCGGTGTTGTAGGATGTACGTAGTAGTGTCTTCAAACCTTGATGCATTCATTCGTTGTGTGGTCCGTGGACGAACTAGAATTAGCTGGTTCACTCGGATTAGTCTGTGTTAACATAGTAAGTTAGCACGACCATGTCTAGTGAGATATATCAGCAAGAGCAGCTGCATTTGCTTCAGTTGTACTCTATATGTTTGAGAGAGATATATCTTTAGAATATTGCCTTCATATACTATCTAATTTCTGCAGTTATTGAAGTTAAAATGCATGATGCTAGTGACTAACCAGAAAAGTTCTTTGAGTTCCATACATTGAGTAAAACATTTCAATCTGTCATTGAGTTAGCTATATATATCCGTGATACCAGTTATGTACTGTGACAGTTTCTCGTATTTTTGTATTATACTTGTATACATTATTCCTATTTGAAGTCATCAACTAAGCTGTTGTAAACATTCCTGCCATGTGTTGCTTCCTTTTTCATGCTTTGCTACTATAGATGATTTGCTTGAACTGAGATGATTGGTGTATTTGTGCTTATAACTATGCTTCTATGTGATTGTTGCAGCATGACCCAACCAAATAAACATTTAGTGCCTTGATCTAGCTCTAAAAGTGTGGTGTTACCTCTCTATACAGGAGCTCTGGGCTGAAGAATTTTGAAGAAGCTTGAAGCCCGACAAAGTAAAGAGTAGAAAGTAATAATGTAGTGGTAGTTATGTTGTACAGTAGCCAGCATATCTGGTTGTATGAACACTATTGTAAATACTGTAATTTCGTATTTGTACAATAGTCAGCATATTTGGTGCTAATATTGGCTATCATTTTACAGTTTCATATGTTGTCTTGCCATTTGAAATATTTTTCATTTGTTTATTGTGAAAGTGTGAGAAATAGAAAGATGACCAGTGTGACAAACAAAAAGGCCAAGGCCCAAAAAGTAGATGGAATGTAAAAAGGCTGAGGCCCAAAACAGAAATGGACTATAAAAGGGTTGAGGGTGAAAAAAAGTACTATAAAAGGTAATGGCCAAGAAAAAAAATGTCGAATTGTTGGGCTAGGCCCATGTAGCTAGCAAAAAATAACAGGAAAAAATACATTAAAAGGCCGAATTGTTGGGCTCGGCCCATGTAAAACGCCAAATCGGACCGGGCTGATTCTTGTGCCACATCAGCTTACCATGCTAGATGCCTACATGGCCTGGGGAGGTTGCTAGTGACCAAAAATTTGGTCGTGGAACCAACGACCTTTTACATATCACAAAGAAGGTCACTAATTTCAGTTTATGACCGCCAGCTTTTGACCTTCTGTTTTTGGTCACAAAAAGGTCGCAAATGAAAAACTATGACCTTTCAGCGACTAATAGTGAGGGTCACAAGTTGACATATTTATTGTAGTGTATCCCTGGATCATAGCTAGCACACACAGTACCAAGAATGAATATTAGTATACCATACATCATTTTACTCCAACGTTACATCCAGAATTAAACAAATACATACCATTGGAACAGCTCAATGCTGGCACATAATACAACGGAATAATACGTAGTCGTTAAGTTAGGGCTCCATCAATGCCACTGGGCTCGTTGAGTGTGGACCATAACCCTACCATCTCTTAATCTGTCGAGATCTGCACATGACAGGTGCAGATGAGTACGTGGAATGTACTTGCAAATTGCAAAGGAAAGTATATCAGATTATATATGCAGGGTAAGTATTGGTGGAGGTTTCCTTTGCATAAAGCCAATTTTCTCCTATACTAAATTTTGTAAACTTCTTTTGAAATAGAAATAGTTATTAGTATAAAAGGTAGGAGTGAGACACTTGGATATACACACCAGTGCTCATTCTCCAAAATAGTTTAAAACATACATAAGGTTGAAGTGAAACACATTCACTGTGCTCATTCCTCAACTTTAACCCTTAAAACAGACTTTTAGAAAAGAGAGGGGAGATTCTTCTTCAGTCCAAGTCTTCAGCTGCTCAAATTTGCTTGTAACCGGGGGCATGGCTAATCGATTAGGTTAAACCCTCTGTAGAGGTCGTACACGTTCCCCACATGACACAACCAACCCTGTTTACTGTTACACACTTGGGTGTACGACTAGGAGGAGATTATGACGAAGCCTTTCCGTAACAGCCCCCTATACCTGACCAAGCCGCCCGCAACTTAGGCAATGAAGGCCCCTCTCCGATGGCGGTCCTGGGGTAAGGGTTTCCCGTAAGTACTAAGCTAAGCCAGAGCCCATAGTAGCATGTGGCTGTACTGGAAGCTACATCAAACTGTACTTGGAAGATCTCATTCCTCTGGACGGTAGTCCCCACCAAAAACCTGTGTGCAAGACCCCAGTTGGGCGCATTCACTGCAAGACCCCGACGTGCGCAATCACTCGTAGACGCTCATGTCAATACCATTCCGTCCAGGGAGTAGAAGATAAAATAATATATAGTTTTGTTTTTCAATAGTTTTCACAAAACGTTGCCCCAGAAGAGGCAAGTTTAAGGTTCAAAACAATTTTGGTTTTCATCCCACCCATTTTGTGCAAGCGTGGCCAAGCATAGTTGCAAGTCTTGAACCTATGGCTCTAGGTAGTAATAATACTTTGTAAAACTTTTGTAAAACATGCATAGCATTAAAATACAAAGGATTATGCATAATATGAAAACATAGGTCAAAGCATGATCAATTTGCAACTTGCCTTCGGTTTTGCAGTCACAAGGTTCTACCTCCTCGTAGAATTCACCTTAGCACTTGTCGTAATCTAATGCGATAAATAACTCAAGTAAGCCACTCGGCATATCCACATTCACATAACAATGGATCAAGCAAGCATTCAACATACAATAAAAATCCAAATGAAGATCCAAATAACAACACAAATTATTCGGTTGCCACTATCATAATTTCTAGGGCATGGTTAGGGTTGATATAGGATCAGATGTAGTCTATGAAGAAAATATGACAGTCATATTCTTAAGTTGGATAATATTGATACTAAGTGAGGATTAGGTTTGAAGGGTTGTGAGACCGGGTTCTACGACAAAGTCTATAATGGGTTTGATCAAAATATTTGACTTGGGTTAAAAGGAAATGGGTCCAGTACAGCCACATGCTACTATGGGCTCTGGCTTAGCTTAGTACTAACGAGAAACCCTTACCTCAGGACCGCCATCAGAGAGGGGCCTTCATTGCCTAAGTTGTGGGCGGCTTGGTTAGGTATAGGGGGCTGTTACGGAAAGGCTTCGTCACAATCTCCTCCTAGTCGTACACCCAAGTGTGTAACAGTAAACAGGGTTGGTTGTGTCATGTGGGGAACATGTATGACCTCTGTAGAGGGTTTAACCTAATCGATTAGCCGTGCCCCCGATTACGGGAAAATTTGAGCAACTGAAGACTTGGACTGAAGAAGAATCTCGCCTCTCTTTTCTAAAAGTCTGTTTTAAGGGTTAAAGTTGAGGAATGAGCACAGTGAATGTGTTTCACTTCAACCTTATGTATGTTTTAAACTATTTTGGAGAATGAGCACTGGTGTGTATATCCAAGTGTCTCACTCCTACCTTTTATACTAAAAACTATTTCTATTTCAAAAGAAGTTTACAAAATTTAGTATGGGAGAAAATTGGCTTTATGCAAAGGAAACCTCCACCAATACTTACCCTGCATATATAATATGATATACTTTCCTTTGCAACTTGCGAGTACATTCCACGTACTCATCTGCGCCTATATGTGCAGATCTCGACAGATTAAGAGACGATAGGGTTATGGTCCACACTCAAGAGCCCAGTGGCGTTGATGGAGCCCTAACTTAACGACTACATATTATTCCGTTGTATTATGTGCCGGCATTGAGCTGTGCCAATGGTATGTATTTGTTTAATTCTGGATGTACCGTTGTAGTAAAATGATGTATGTTATACTGATATTCATTCTTGTTACTCTGTGTGCTAGCTATGATCCAAGGATAGCACAGTAATCACAAAGACTTGGATTTCAACAAATTTTAGTTTAACGAGTTTATTAAAGGATTAACAAAGAAGGTCAAAATGAGGGTATTGTGCTAAAACAGTAACCAAACATTACTGAAAAAATATTCTATGCATTCTAGCAGATTGGTATGGTTCCAAGGACCAATTTTCATATATAAAACTTTTTCATATTATTTATAGAATAAAAGATATAGTAAAAATACTCAAATTCCCATTTAAATCAAAACGAAATTTTAGTTTGCGCAAAAGTGCAATTTTAAATTTTTGTAAGAAAATAGATGTTCCAACGAATCCAAGGATATCTTATATGTTAAAATCGGACATACGGTTTAGGAGATACGATTTTTGAAGTTTAGATATTTTTCTGGAAATGAATTACAGGTTTTAGTATTAACTGCCATGTGTCAAGTTGTGATTCCTTGATACCCCTACAACTAAGGACACAATCCTGAATAATGGCGGATCCGGCTTGCATGCTCCCTCCCCATGCTCCCATCCGTGCTCCTAGTTCATCCTACGGTTGTCCTTTTTTCTTTTCCCTTTCTAATCTAATCATCTCCCCCCTGATTTTAAGGGGGTGGGGCCGGGCCTTATTTTGTTCCAATCAAATCAAGCCACGTACGCGAGAGCACGGATGGGCACACGAGCGGGGAGCAGGCAAGTCTCGTCCAATAATGGTTGGGTGCTCACCGTGAGGTTTACCGGAGTTGGGCGGCGCGGCGCGGATTCGACGACGGAGACGTGGCCGGTGACGAGAGGTGCACTATGGCATTCAGAATGATGAGGTGAACACGATGGGGTACCGGCACTGTCGTTCTCGTCCGCTGGAGGT